TCACCATTATTATTGGCATCAGTAGTAGTATCATCACCATTATTATTGGTATCAGTAGTAGTATCATCACCATTATTATTGGCATCAGTAGTAGTATCATCACCATTATTATTGGCATCAGCAGCATTATCATCGCCATTATTATCGTCAACGTTATTATCGTTATCACCATCGTTATTATCATCACCATTATTATTGGTATCAGTAGTAGTATCATCACCATTATTATTGGCATCAGTAGTAGTATCATCACCATTATTATTGGCATCAGCAGTATTATCATTGCCATTATTAGTGGCATCAGCAGCATTATCATCGCCATTATTATCTTCAACGTTATTATCGTTATCACCGTTATTATTATCATCTGTTCCTGTGCATGGACCCGCCACACAACCATCACTGCAATAATCTGATCCGGACCCACAGAAACCCGATTTCGATCGACATTCGCTTGGATTAGGACAAGCGAGATCAAATTCACCATTACCAGCAGGTTGCATGCATGGACCCGCCACACAATTATGACCACAATAAGCTAATCCTATTCCACAGGAGCCCCATTTCGACCGACATTCCCGTGGATCAGAACAAGCTGAGTGAGCAAGTCTTCGAAGAAGCAAACTTTTGAACTGAATGTCCTTTACGTAATTGTAACCTGGAACAGTGACGAATATATGAAGAAAAAGGAGAGGATAGATGATTATCGAGGAAAACATATTGATATTTCCTCTTGGAGAAATTTCTTATTTATTATCTAAAGGAATACAAAGTAAATGAAGATGACTATTCTAATGACTAAATAGAGAAGGAGAGAGAAATAACATAAACAAGTGAAGAATCACAAGTGTTGAAAGCGCGGCGAGTGGGTAATGACTAACACTACGCACACCTTTCCTTTTCATATTAATGAAATCGAAAAGTAGAAGTGAAAAGAAGCAGACACATAGCATTAGTTTTTATACTACTGTTTGTTACTGTCATTATCGATGAGTGAGTGTTGAAAAGGGTTCTATCCCAAATGAAAATGATGAGCCATGTAAATATACCAATAGTCTGATAAAAATCTGTGTGAGGTGCTCGATCATGAGAAATATTGGTTTTCTCCCATCGCTCAGACCACTTCCATCGATGCATCTTGTTCGTCGTGAAATGTATCACGTGTCAAAGTAAGCAAAGAACCAGTTGAAGGGAAATTAATCACACGTGAGTGATGCATCGCTCCTACCTTGCTGCTGTTTAGTTCCCTTAAGTAAATTTCATTCAATTCTATTCGGAAAGATGGATCAAAATTCGTGCGTTTAATATTTATCATAATCGAAGAATATCGAGAAGTGAATTATGCTGCGCTTGAGTTCAACTCATATTATTGCATTCTAAGAGATTCTATGATCGATCTTTGCAGAGTGTTACTATCGTATTTTGTTTGTTTATAAGAAATTTGAGGCTCAGAGAAAGTTCTTCTTGACTTCAGGCAATTGTTCATACTATTTTCAAGAATATTCTTTTTAAAAATTTCCATTGAAGTCCGAATTAAACTTTTCGGACAGAGCATTCTAAACCTGATGTACTGCAATATTGTAGATATAAACTAGAATAACATAAAAAGAACCGTTTCTGTTGTAGTGAGGCATATGTAACAAAGAGGTGAGATGTATTGATGGAAACCATTGAACTACATCTCTTATAAAACAAACATATATAGGCAATTTTGAAATAAGCTGATTTCGAAATTCTTATTATCTAGCAGAATAGAAATGCAACATTAGTCAAATGACATATGATTTCACATCTACTTGAATCTATAGAATATAACATGTCTTTCTTTAACGAAACTCCATATCTCCCGTATATGGTGACTAAAGTCATAGGATGTGGGTTTAGTTTGGGTGCGTGTGACTTTGAGCCTGAGTGTCAACGAAAACATCACATATGCTCACACCCACATCGACCTAAATGAAGCAGACAGCGGCAAGGTAAAAGTGATGCATGATTCACGTGTGATTAATTTTCCTTCAACTGGTTCTTTGCTTTCTTTGGCACGTGATACATTTCACGACGAACAAGGTGCATCAATGGAAGTGGTCTGAGCAATGGGAGAAAACCAACGTTTCTCATGATCGAGCACGTCTTACATATTTTTATCAGACTATTGGTATATTTACATGGCTCATTATTTTCATTTGGGACAGAACCCATTTCAATACTCATTCATCAATAATGACAGTAACAAGCAGTAGTATAAAAACTAGTGCTATGTGTCTCGTTGTTTTCACTTCTAGTTCTCGATTTCATTAATATGGAAAGAAAAAATGTGCATAGTGTTTGTCATTACTCAGTCGATTTGCTTTCAACGCTTCCGATTCTTCACTTTTTTTCTTCTTCACATTTTCATTTACTTATATGTATATGTCGTATCGTAGTTACACTGCTCAACGAAGTTATAACTTCGACACTCACAGTAATCGAAGTTACAACTTCGACAGAAAAATTTGTCGAAGTTATTTTTAATTCAAATATCAATAAATAATTTATTGAACTGAATATCCAACTGCTGAACATATGATGAAAAATAAAATTGTTGCTAGTAAATATTCATTTATTTAACAATAGACTCATGTCTTCAAAATCGCCTTGGTTTGGACGATTAATCGCGATTTTTAAAAAAGTCGACGATCATATCGCGGTGAACAGATAATTATTTCGCCGAAATCGTTATGAATCAAGATTTTTTTGAAAAAAACTGACGAAAAGTCGCCTTATTTTAACGATTTTATCGTGATAGATGGCACAATTAATCCGCATTATAAATCGCGATAAAATCGTCCATTTTTACGGGATTTTGACGATGGGTCCATAACGATTGTGTGTAAGACATTTGTGTGCAGAGAATTGTATGGAATATGAGGATGGATGTGAGTGTGGGGTGTGGGTTTGGAATGTGTGGCATGACGTGTGGATGTGGGATATGGGTGTGAGTCTGCACTCTGAAAAAATTAGGTTTATTACGGAACCTGCGTCCAGGGAAGAACCTTTGAGGTTTCGTATGAATCTATCGAACCTAAAGAAGATTCGAATATTATTGCAACAACATTTTAAAGTTCGGTAGATTCATACGAAACTTTAAAAGTTCTTTCCTTGGACACAGGTTCCGTAATGACCCTTTTTTTTTAGAGTGTGGGGTATGGCTGTGGGTATGAGATATGGGCGTGAATCTGGGGTATGGGTGTGGATGTGAGAATAATAAAAAGATGAAGAACCCACACATGAACTTAGACCCACATCTCCACTCACATACCGCCACCCATCCACGCCCACACCACATCCAGACCCCCCCCCCCCCCCCCCCCCCCCCCCCCCCCCCCCCCCCCCCCCCCCCCCCCCCCCCCCCCCCCCCCCCCCCACCCCCCCCACCCCAAACACCCACCCACACAACCCCC